ACGATACAGTATTTAGAGAAATTATCCTGCATTGTGAGGATGTGCCGATTTCCGTTTGGGGTGGTTCGCAATTTCCCGACGGTGTCTAGATACACCTTGTCAAAAGGCATTGCCGGAGTATCAGTAATTATCATCGGTTCTTTTGTACGGGCCCTAGCGAGTTTGTTTTCGAAACAACTCTTACATCCTCGAGTAAATTGGGTAACGTCGTCACGCATCCGGGGCCAGTATTATCTTTCCCTTATTCGTCGGTAGGTCTTGCCTATACCTTTGTGTCCACCTATCAAACTGGAATGAAATTCGGAAACGATTTTACCGCGTAATTCAACAGGAGGCACTTCAATTTTTCCGTGGCACAGGGTGATGGTTGCGTCGCCACCGCGGAAAATTCCTGCGACAAGTTCCGACATTTTATTTTGAGGGAATGTACCTAGCAAATCCCCGGAATTTGCCATTCGACAAGAATTTTAATTGTTGGATGCTAAGGCTTTTCTCAAATTTTTTAGTCCGATTATAACATCTTTCTAACAAATTTCATTAAAATGACGTCTTTTAACAAAGATCGAAAAGACCTTGTATTTACCGTTAGGGGATATAAGCATTTCTCCTTTGACAGGTCTACTGTCCCTAATGTCGTGTAAGTCAATATTTTCTGTAGCGACTAATAATTTCGAGATTGGATCGACCGGTTCACAATCTTCAGAAAGGAAGTAGGCATAGTTGTCTCATCTGTACGTCAAAGGTTCTGTCCATTGATTTGATACACCACTAAGGGGCTTGCTGTTGTTCAGTTTTAATTCTTGGGGTTCACTATCACAATCACGATTACTTTCACTGGATGTCCAGGAAGATGGTGAAGGATCAAAATATGAATTCTTGAAGTTTAGGAACAAAGAGCTAAGAGGCGCGCACTTCTTTGCTACATCATTGTCTGTATCCTGTATTCGTCTAGGTTTCATGCCCTGGTTCCTCGCAGTAATCTCCTGGTTAGAGTTGACCCTTTCATCCTTGAATCTCGTGAACGGGGTGGATTGTGCACGTGGGATAGTTGATGGCCATGGAGTAGATAGTTCGGTTACCATCCGGAGCGTTTGATCATCTATAAAATGTTCAAAGACTTCTGGGATGTTCTTGAATCTTACCGTACTTTGTCTCCTTGGTTTGGTGGATTTACTAGCTAAAGAATTTTCCTTTTGTGATCCTTCTACAGTGGGGGGCAATTCAGGTTGCTCACTTGAAAACTCTTCCAATTCAGTTAATTTTTTCGCTCTACTCCGGTTGAAGTCGTCCAGAAATTTCTTTACTCTTTTGGAGAGTTCGTCATCGGTTCCAACGGCAGGATCAATAGTTTCTAAATAGTCCAGATGTTCTTGATCTTCTTCACCGTCAGAAACATATTGTCTTCGTGGACTATCGCTTAGGCCTTCATAATCCCAAAGTAGAGTGTTGTTTGTTGGATTGGAGAAATTGAATCTCCAATCGTTCTGTTTCCATTTCGGTATCCATTTCTCAACGCTCTGCACTAAGTATCGGGAATCTGTTTTGATCCTTAGTTTCTTGATGCCCGCCTTTTTGGCCTGTTGAGCTGCCGTAGTGGCTGCTTCGATTTCGAAAGCGTTATTCGTTTGAGGTCCGTTATAACGTCGAGAAATGTTTAAAGGATTGTCTAGACCAAACCACACGCCAATTTCTACTTTTGGACTGGATCCTCCATTTTCGCAGCAGGCTCCATCAACGAAAACGTCCGTGTACGAATCAGGGCCTTGACTCTGAGGAGCGCTGGTTTTGAGCTTAGGTAATTTAGATAAAGTAGTATGGACAGGAAGATGAGGGAAAGCACTATAGTCTTCTCGGAACACCGGGGGATCTGAATCTTCATCTGTTTCTTCCTCCGATTCTTATTTTGCTCTTTCATCACTTGATGATGAATAGCACGGTTCCTTAGTTCTATCCTCCTTTGGAGCAGTGGTTCCACGGGGTCGTAGTCTGTTGGCGACACAGCTTTCGTCCGCTTTACTAACAGGGATATCCTGCGGGGGTCTCGATAGGTTTCGTCACTATCAGCCATTGCGGATTTGGTACTTCCAACAGGTCGCCCTCGACGAGGAGGTTCCTTGGCAGCCGTCTTAGTGGGATTTAACTTAAGTTTAATAGGAGGACCCTTTGAACTGCTTGGTTGTCCCGAGCTGGTACTTGGTTCCTGATCCTTTGGACGTTTTAAGATTGTTTTTCTTGATTCCGTTATCCCTTTTTGTGCTGTGGTAACGGAGGGTCGACGAAGAGGTTCCTTTCCTGAGTGTTTTCAATTAAACAACTTCTGCGTAGTCCCAAGGTTGGAGGAAGGTCTAGGTCGTGGCTTCGTTTGTTTTAGTTTGAGTTTTTCTTGTAAACCACAAAATCGTTGTCGGGTTGTTGACGCGCTGGCCTTATTGGTTCCGTCGGATTTTCTTTCTTTATCTTTGTGGTTCGCTTGCGCGCTTTCTTTCGCTTCACTTGTCGAGGAGCGCGTTATAGGTGATTGCCGACATGTTTTCACATTCTCACTTGGCTCGACATCACTGGATTCCGTTTTACGAGTGATTGCCTTTTTCTGAGGTTTGGGCTTTTCGAGATCTGAGGAGAATGATTCTGACCAACTGGAATCTGAATTCGACCCGTTTTCTTCATCAACAGGATTTTTTGATATCACCTCAACAATCCTATTGATTTTTCCGGGCTTATATTCAAACTTATATTGATAATTTTGAAGACGAATTCTCCGTCATTGAATTCGTGGTCCCGGATTATCAATATAGGTCATCCAGTGTACCGGTTCAAAATCGCAGGCTAGAACGAACTCGCGACCATATAAATAGGGTTTAAAATGTTCAGTCGCGTACAGTATGGCTAAGCACTCCTTTTCAGCTTTAGGGTAAGATTGTTCTGCACTGTTCAGTACTTTTGAGTAATATGCTACAGGCAAATCAATACCGTCCCTCGATTGCGTTAGAATTGCGCCTCCAGCGTGTTCTGACGCGTCGCACGTTAATTTAAAGGTTTCACTAAAGGTCGGATACATCGACTTTAGTCGATGGTCGGAATTCTATGCTGGATAAGGTGAGTGCACGATAGTAGTTCACCATTTAAATGAAATATATCAGCATTGTCTTCCGCTCATCCTAATACGATTTTCCGCTCGTCTGAAGCCAAATAAGCCAAGTATAACGCATTCTTGACCTTGATAGCTCTCTCAGAATAGGTTTGTTGCGAATCGAATTGAATGCCTTCTGCCTCAGAATCTGTAAATTCTTTACCGGGGAATTTACAGAAATCGAACGGGAATAACTCCTGAGGTTTAAAGGTTATGTCAATGTTATTTTCGGTAGTGTTGATTGCCATAGCGTGGCATACACCATCCTTATTTGTGACAATGGCCTCGCCCAGGTAAAGTCCTTTTGGGGTTTCAATTCGAGGGAAATATCCTTCTTTTAACCCTGTGTTTATTATGTCTATCGCGACTGGGGTTTTCGTGCGGGATTTTATGCGTAGGACTCGAGCAAACGGTTTAATTTTAGACCTTAAGGTTTTTTTAGCCTCCACTGATTCCTTATCAACAAAATTGATAGGGGTCACTAGGGAAGATATGGTCACGAGGGTGTTATGCCTAAAAGAAATTTAGGCTTGGACCTGTCGTAGATATGGTCTTCCAAGGATACCATAGAACGAAATAGGATAACAGTTTTTGACAACGTGAAATTCTACCGGAACATTATCGATAGTTAACTGAATGGTTCCCATTGTTCTAACAGCGTGATTAGTTATTCCTGTAATCTCAAGACATTTGTCTGGGACAAGTGTGTCCCAGACCTCACGAGGTTAGTGTTTGACCCAGGATCTACGAGGAACCTTATCTTATCATGTCTGAATTCAGGGGAGCTTAATTGGACTACTGGGGAGTCCTCGGCCTCTGATTTTGCTCTAAAGATCCTATTGAGTGTTCCACAAAGTGCACGTTCTTCGCACGCTGCGGAAGGGGACTCGCTGGTGCGCCCGGACGGCGAAATAGAAATTAAAAGTTAAAAATTATAAAATCTGATAAAACTATATAAATGTTAACAACAATTTTTTTCTATGCTTTTAATATATATTTTATACTTTTAAAAATGTTGTAGAAATTGTATAAAAGTAAAAAAAAATTCACCCCTAAAAGAAAAAATGTTTAAAAACTACCCCATATAACTAAAATTTACAAAATGAACAAAAATTGGTTACTCAGGGGTTTTGGGGTCGCTGATTACGAATCCGATGTCAGATTCTCGAAATTTTTAAAATTCAAAATGGTGGATGCAAAATGGCGGACAACTTTTTTAAAAATCGGTTTAATTTGCCTGAAACTAATTACTCGGGGGTTTTTAAGGTCGCTGATTACAAATCCGATGTAAGATTTTTAAAATTTTCAGAATTCAAAATATCCGATCTAATAGGTCGGACAAATTTTTTTAAAAATTGACCCAATTTGACTGAAACTAATTACTCGGGGCTTCTTACGGTCGCTGATTACGAACCCGATGTCACATTTTCAAAATTTTCAAAATTTCAAATGGCCGATTCAATATGGCGGACAACTTTTTTAAAAATCGATCCAATTTGCCTGAAACTAATTACTCGGGGGTTTTTACGGTCGCTGATTACGAATCCGATGTAAGATTTTCAAAAATTTCGAAATTTAAAATGGCTGATCCAATATGTCGGACAACTTTTTCAAAAATTGACCCAATTTGCCGGAAACTCATTACTCGGTGGTTTTTACGCTCGCTGATTACGAACCGATGTCAGATTTTCAATATTTTATAGAATTAAGGAGCAGGATTGTAAAAACCGACTGTTTGCTCTTATCCACTACTATTCTTTTTTGTCCGTCTTGTGGTCTTCGTCTTGTGTGGTCTCTGAGAAAGTCAGCTAATTTATTTTTCATTTTATTTCCACTTTTAGTAGAAATTGTACCAAAGAATATTTTAATTATGGAATTTGTCGATGTACTAAGCGACTTAGATAGCGAGGATGGTAATGATTTAGATGGTAATTTTAAGAATAATGAATGCTCCCTTGACGAAAATGAATTTAATGAAAGAATTGAACGAATACTGCAAAGATCGAATGAGAATCATCATCAAAAAAACCATTCAAGCACTTGCGAATCTGTTTCTGATGATGACAAATCACTTCGAGAAAGGATTCGTGATTTAGATGGTATTTGGGTAAATAAAACTAGGAAACATGACGATATTGCTTTTAATGAAGAATGTGGACCAATTAACATTTCTGAAAATATCCAATTACCATCACACATTTTTCGACTATTCTTTTCTGACAACTTTATTGATATAATTGTTGAGCAGACAAATTTATATAGCGAACAGTCAGATACATCTTTTGTCAAAACTACAAAAGAAGAAGTCTTAAAATTTATTCCAATAAATATCGTGATGGGTATCAAAAGATTACCTGCCATTCGTGATTATTGGTCCACGAATCCGCAATTACACGACTCATTTATTAGTTCAATTATGCCTGTAAACAGATTTTTTTCTATATTATCCTGCTTACATTTCAACGATAATTCGATTGCTCCTAAGAGGAATGAACCCGGCTTTGACAAACTGTTTAAAATTAGACCTATGCTAACTGAACTTTCGGAAAACTTTTTAAAATATTACAATCATACAAAAAATCAAAGTATAGATGAAAGTATGATCAAGTTCAAGGGTAGAAGTACGTTAAAACAGTACATGCCACAAAAGCCTATATAAAGAGGCTACAAAGTCTGGGTCAGAGCAGACGAATTAGGTTTTGTGTCTCAATTTCAAATTTATACTGGAAAAGTAAATGGAAACACCGAAAATCTCTTAGGTGAAATGGTCGTCAGAGATTTGTCCCGAGAACTTGGGGGTAAGTACTATCATTTATACTTTGATAACTTTTTTACAAGCGTCAATTTGATTAGCTCTCTGAAACAAGAAAAAATATTAGCATACGGTACAGTGAGAAGTAATCAAAAGAGCTTACCTAAATCAAAAACAGTTGACAAAAATCTTATCAGAGGTAAAAGTGAATTTAAAACCTCGTTCAGAGATGTCCGTTGGGTGAAATGGAATGATAACAAACAAGTGCAATTGTTATCCAACTTTCACGATCCCTCGATTATTACGTCTGTAAATAGACGACAAAAAGATGGTTTGTAGATTTAACCGATCTGAAGCGTTTGCCACACTAACGTCTAGGTTCGCCGGAGGTTGTTGACCGTTAAGATTGGGGTTCGACATGTTTATGCGAGGATATTTCAGGTGCTGAACTAAGGGTATAGAGTGTAAGTGTAACTAAGGATATAGAAAAAGGGGAACGGCCTGTAATCCTTGTATCTAGATCCATATTCTATGGGTTCAGGGTTCCAAATTTAAATTCTGCGTTAGTTGTTCTAGTTCGCTTAGGGATTTACAAAAGTCTAATTGCCTACGTTTTGCTTGTATGATTAGGGATTTCAGAAGTACGATCCTAGTTTTGAGTGACTCTATTCTAGTTCTCAATTCAGAGTTCGATCATCTCAAATTTCTACTTTTATGAAAATGGAATGCTAACAATCTTGTTATGCGTTGTACGTGTTCTTCGGAATTGTTAAAAAGTATATTTTTTCATTCAGGCGTCATCGCTAAAACCTACTCGATTTTTAAATCCTCAAGTTTCTTAGTTAAGAGGTCTATGATAGATTTCATTTTTCTTGCTCTTTTTTCGAGGCTAGAAACTAGTAGGGATTGTGCAAAAGTAGCCTGCGTAAGCGTAGCTAAGGAACTATGAAGGAATGTTACCTGAGTTTCTAACTCAGACGCTCGTTTAGACAATGTTGAATTTTCTGAAACAAGATAACTATATCTCTCCTCGATTATCTCAACCCCCTCGATTAACACGGACCATTGGTCCTGAGAGAACCCAGTAACAATTGAGCTCCTTCGAGGAAACATAAGTTATTCGAAAACAAGGTTACATTTACTTTAAAAATTTATTAAATTGAATTTCGTTAATTTATTTAGCTTTTCAGAGTGTTGCTTTGCATTTAGCCAATAATCATGACGTCGCTGTCGTAATCGAGTATGCTGTCAGAGTCACCGTCAGGTTGATCGACGTTTTGTTGCTGTACGGGGACAAGTCTCACAAGATTTTCTTGTGCGCGAGCTATCTGTCGCTGTGCTAACGCCTCCTCGATATCGAGGTCTATTTCGATAATTTTAATTTGTACTAATTGTGCCGGAGGTGGTTGGACAGGCTCTGGTTGTCTAGGGGTAGGTGCAACCTTGCACGTAGGTCTGAACTTTATTAAAGGTTTTGTGAGACTGTAATAGATTTCAGATTCTGGTGCCCTAGTCGTTCCTTGTTGGATCAAAATGCGTCTCTTACTGGGACGTTTTCCTCTTTTTGTTTTCTTTGGATTAGAGGACATTTTTGGATGACATGTTAATTAATATTATGATAGTGCGTTAAATTACAATTTCAGCAAGGGAGCTCTCCAAGGCGGGGAGATCAGTATTTACAACGGCGCTTCCTAGTGTAAGGGAGAGAAGGAAATAAATTTCCTTCTTTCCGAATTCCAATTGGAACTCACCAGGATTCGACCAGAAGCTTTTCCAATTTTGCGGCCTTGTACCCACAAACGGCGAGGTTGTATTGCTAGTCGTTAGGTACCCTAAAATGGGGCAGTCTAGTTTTAAATTAGTTTGACAAATGTAGTTATGTTTGTAGAAACTGTTTAGAGATACATTCACTACTTCGTTTTGTAAGAACTCGGAATTAATAACAATGACTCCGAAGTCATTAGAATTTTGAAGGATTGTCATACGGATGTAAAGTAAACTAACAATACACAAACAAAATTCAATTATACTTTGCTTTTGTTTTCACGGAAAATCGCGACGTCAGATTCGCGCTATTTTCTTTTACTTGGGAGATTCCACTTGTTGTGTGTGGACGCGGGCAATATCTATGCAACCGGCCGTCTCACACAACTGTGTAAAAACTCACTGCGGATCATCCTTTTACCAAATTAGTCTAAGCAATATCTATGCATTCGATAATTAGTTTTGATCGCGCTCGTGGGCCACCGATATTTGAGACGGACGCGGGCAATATCTATGCAACCGGCCGATTATAAATAACAAGCTTTTAGAATTATGAATTATGTTAATAATTCCAAAATCTCTCCAAAATCATCCTGCACTGGACTCCACCGGCTCAGAGAATTTGAGAAAGTTAACGTCTGCCCTAAATTATAAAATTCGGGTTCCGGGTCGCGGACGGGCGAATCGCGAAATTTCTCTGTCCCAAAACACTTACTAGGTTAGACCCAGGAGAGGTGTCTTCGAGAAAAAGCGAGAAATCGTACTGCATTAATTGAGATTTCGCGACAAGCCTCCAACCCTTATCTTTAGTGTAAAGTGGGGAAAAATCTTAGTAGTAGGAGTAAAGAGTAGGAGTAAGTCATGGGCCCATTGGTCTATACATTTTTGCTGACGTTTTAGATCTCACGGTAGGTCCGCGAGAACGGAAACGGTCTGTCAACATGATATATCATGATACGCGGGCAATATCTATGCAACCGGCCGTCTCACACAACTGTGTAAAACTCACTGCGGATCTATTTTTTACCAAATTAGTCCGGGCAATATCTATGCAATCGATAATTCGATAATTAGTTTTCATCGCGCTCGTGGGCCACCGATATTTGAGACGGACGCGGGCAATATCTATGCATCCGGCCGATTATAAATAACAAGATTTCAGAATTATTAATTATATTAATAATTCTAAAATCTCTCCAAAATTTGAGAAATTTTATTATGATACTTTTTAAGATATTATTTTGAAATAACTTAGAATTTAAATAATAATTATATTGTTTAATTAATAAAATTATTATTTATCTTAGTTATAATAATATATAAATATTTATTTAATATTTATATATAATTTATATAATATAATTAAGTAGTAAGTATATAATTTATTTATTGTAATTATATTGTTCCTACTTTTTATAGGTTGCTTGTATATGCATTTTACATATTGAGTAATGTATATATATACATATACATACAACCTAATGTCCTCCGGCATTTTGTTGTAACAACAATGTTTACAACAAAATGTTTAACTATTGTAAAGTTGTTTGTATGTGCATCTGACTTGATTCATAAATTCAAGTGTCATAAGGCATGCAAGCCTTGTAGTTTTAGTCAGCTGTAACGCACGTGCGTTTGTTTTGAAGCTGTAGTCTACAGCTTATGGGCCCTGAGGGGAGAGAAAAGCTGTGAAAGTATTAGTACTGTAGCCGGGAAGTCGATGCTTGTGTTGGTGCTTATAACCTCCGGACGCACAGACGTATGCGCGTTGCTTTATTGTGTGTGTTGATGTCGTCCCTCCACACACACGTACAATCTCTCAATGTAATTTTTAGTTGATGTTTTAATATTTTAGAATTACGCTTACACTTTCGGTTATTAACATAAAATTTGAATTTAATAGATTTGATTCATTTACGTATTTTGACAGCAACATTGCGCCTTAATTATGTTTTTCAGAATACAAATTTTCATATTTATTATTTGTTTAGGTAATATTGCCGCAAGGTTTGATGCAGGCAGCATTGATTGCGCCGGTACAATTGTTAATAACTATTTATTATATTTGTTATTTAGTAAAAAGAGAAAAGAAACAATAATTTCTTTTGTCCTTTGAACTATTTAATAAGCATTTCTTAGTTAAAGGTATTCTTATAACGAGATATTTAACGTTATCAGGGTGTCAAATATCCTCAGGCATAGCGTCGCTGCGTAGCGACGTTCTTATGCTTGGGCTGATTTAAAATTAATATTTATCCTACATGGTTGCCAAATAACCTACTGTTTGAGAATTGACCGATTGATAGGATTTTGGGTTCACAAATAAAAGTTTAATGCAGACTATTAAAAAACAAAAATTCAGTTTATTCAAAATTGAAAAAGGTTGTCACTATAATGGCGTGACCATGCCGCGATGCGAAAACACAGAACAAAAATGGTTTTCTTGAATGAAAATTCTGAATTAGTGAAAAACTCGAGAAATCACTTTTAATTGAGATTAATGTATTTTTTTTTGAAACTAAACGAATCTATGATAATTTTTATACATAACGCGAGTAATGAGAAAGATCCTTTCTGATCACTTTCTGATTATACAATGAGAAGTTGTGAGCGTTGAGATGGCGTTAGTTGCCTTTTGGTTTGTTTTAGAGTGTTAGTGAGCGTCGCCCGAATACAGAGAAAATTTGAGTGTGGTTGTGAATTTTAGCGCGAAAATTGCCGGTAAAATGAAATTAGTGTTTTGGTGTCGAGATTAGGATTAGTCATGGAATTTTCCATAAATGTTTGCAATTTGAAATCAAAAATACTGAACATTCTCCCCGCCATCGGCAACAGTGTTGTCGATTTAAGATGAATCCTCGTCTGATGTTGAATTGTTGTCCACGGAGATAGGAAGAATTGCCAATTTATGAATTGGCCGCTTGAAAGTTGATGTAGCTGTTTTAATTGTAACAACTCTCGTGAGACCGTCAGTTCCAGGAAGTAGTTCCAGTATGCGAGCAAGAGGCCACTTAGCGGGAGGGAACCTCTCATCAGTGAGCAGTACCATTGAGCCGACTTTTATTTTGTTTGATGGGTGATGCCATTTTGAGATTGATTGTTGACGTTGTAAATAACATGAAGACCACTTAGACCAAAAAAATTGAAAACGCTGTTGAATAAGTTTCCATCTTGATGCTGGTGAAATATTGAGCTGAGTGAGTCATGTGATTGAGATCTTCATATTCCTTTAAGAATGTGTGATAAAGATCGCTGTAGGTTTGATTCTTTGAGATTCGGTTGAACAATGATTTTAAACATCGTTGAGCAGTTGTGTATGAGTCGCCAAGTTGACTAGGTGATGAATTGAGAGGTAATCGAACGATGTATCTGCCAGATACATCACGAGAGTGAGTTTCTTTGAAATGATTTTCACATTCTAATTCTTCAAGTGTGAATGAGTCCGTGACCTTGAGTTGAAATTCTTCTTGCTCCCAAAATTTGGTGAGAATATCTTGTAAGTCCGTGAGTTGATGATTGATTGTGATGTGAAATGAGTGACCAGATTCTGTTGAGGAATCATTAACAGGACCAAGAATGACCCAGCCGAAGATTGTTTTTTGAGCTGTTAATGATGAGTCCTGACCTTGAATGAGACCTGGTTGGAGTAATTGCCCATAGTGATCAGCTCCAATGATGATATCGATTTTTGAGCTGTGAAAATATTTTGAATCAGCCAATTGTAAATTTTTGAATTGAGGGATAGATTGAGACGGAAGTGAGATTGAAGGAAGATTGGATGATAATTTTGAAAGAATGAAAGCGTTAAGCAAAAGCGATTGATCAGAATGAGTAGATTGTAGTTTGATGGAGACTATACCCCGAGTACTGCCTGATGATGTTCCTCCAATTCCAATGATAGGGATAGTTGAATATTGACGAGTAATATTAAGTTGAGATACAAGTTTCTTAGAAATAAATGATAATTCTGATCCAGAATCTAAGAGAATCCTCACTGGCTGAGAAAGTCCCGAGTTGAGAAGTAGCAGAGCTTGAGAAGTAGCAAGAAGCACAACAGGTCTAGTAGTAAAAGAGACCTTACCTTGAGAAGTTAAGACATTACGTCACTTTGTGATGTCCTTTTGTTGATTGCTTTGAGATGTTGATTGATCCTTTGATGATGATTGAGCAGTATACTTTATGTGAATCATTGTATGATGTTTTCCATTGCAATCTCTACATCTTTTTGAGCTTTGACATTGGTGAGCAGAGTGTTTGCCGAGACAATTGAAGCAGAGTTTTTGAGTGATGACAAGCTCCCTTCGAACCGGTGGTGAGAGTTTCCTGAATTTCTCACATACTACTATGTAGTGAGAACCGTCACAGCATGAGCAATTGTATCCATAAGTTTGATGAGAAGCTGTAAGGGCTTTTGCTGGTTGAGTTGTTGATTGAGATGATTTAGGTGATGATGGTGTTGTTTTAGCCGCTTAAGAATATTGAGATGAATTGAGTTGAAGATTTTCAAGGGCACGAGCACGACCTGTGAGAAATTCCTTGAGTTGCTGGTATGATGGTGGTTCAGTACGTGAGCCTTGCTTGTTTTCCCAAGCTTCCCTGGTTTGAGAATCCAACCTACGCGTAGTAAAATGGACTAAAACTAGATCCCATGAATCAACTAGAGCATTGAGAGCTTTGAGAGCGTTGAGTGCTTCAGTGGTGGTGTTGAGGAGAGTGTTGAGATCACTGGCTGATTTTGCTGAGATAATTGATGAGTTGAAAAGTTTGTCGATTTGCGAGGAGATGAGTAATCGCTTGTTTTCATAGCGTGAGGTGAGTAAACTCCATGCTGAGTCAAACGAATCACTTGATAGAGGGAGATTGGCGATTAATTGAGCTGCTTCACCGGTGAGAGTTGTGCGGAGATAATAATGCATCTTTTCTACACCGGAAATTTCCGAGTTTTGACCTACCAAGGAGGAAAACAAATCCCTGAAAGGAGTCCATGATGAGTAGTCTCCACAGAATTGAGGCAGCGAGATTTCCGGAAGCTGTCTTCTTTTTGTTTGAGTGGATTCAGATGGTCGAGTCGTGTTTGCCGCAGGTTGTTTGAGTCGTTCAATAAGAGAGTTGAGTAGAATCTTAGACTCCACATAAACTTTGCAGGCTTGTTCATAACAATCGTCAGTCATATAAGGATTACTGAAGAAGCTATCTGGACAAGTTTCACCAATTTCCTCATGAGTTTGAGAAAATTCCGTCCATAAATCATGGAAAACGGTGAGCATTGATTTTGCTTCATTGACTGAGTATTGAGGAGCGAATGATTTGACCTGGTTGAATGATTCAATCATGAGATTAAGACGACTATTTTGAGTAGTTACTTTGAAATTCATTCGGACCTTGAGCAAGTTTTCTTGAACTTCTGAAGAGTTTTTGGAATTTTGATCGTGCGCATAACTCTCTTTTGATGAGTGTTTTCCATGAGAAGTACTTGGTTTCTCATTTTTATTCGAGATTTGTTGAGTTTTATCTAAGGGTTGAGTATCATCGATATCTTCCTTTTTTGGAGATGAGTTTTCGTCCTTGACCGAGAGTTTTTCCATGTTGGTGATTACAACTTTTACTTCCTTGTCCGATGAGATAGATTTTTTCGAATTTGAGTTGAGAGATTCCTTGTCGTTTAAGTTGAGAGATTCCTTGTCGTTAGTTGAGCTGTCAGAATGTGTGCTCATAGCGAAGGATGTGAGAATGCAGGGAGAGCGTTCGTGGTCCGTCGGATATTTCCGGAGTTAGTCGTAAGAGAGAGAGAGAGAGAGAGAAGATCCGAGAAAAGATGGCCGACACTGAAATTTTGTAAGCGCGTCTTGAATTCCTCACGCACTTATACCTACACGCACTGAGCACTGTAAGCCCCCACCACTGGTGTTCACTTGCCTTTCCCTTTTACACTTGTTGAATCTTGCACTGAAATTTTGTTTTCACTTAACACTATCCGGCACGAAGGACCAAATGTTTGAGAATTGACCGATTAATAGGATTTTGGGTTCACAAATAAAAGTTTAATGCAGACTATTAAAAAACAAAAATTCAGTTTATTCAAAATTGAAAAAGGTTGTCACTATAATGGCGTGACCATGCCGCGATGCGAAAACACAGAACAAAAATGGTTTTTTTGAATGAAAATTCTCAATTAGTGAAAAACTCGAGAAATCACTTTTAATTGAGAATAATGTATTTTTTTTTGAAACGAAACGAAACTATGATAATTTTTATACTTAACGCGAGTAATGAGAAAGATCCTTTCTGATCACTTTCTGATTATACAATGAGAAGTTGTGAGCGTTGAGATGGCGTTAGTTGCTTTTTGGTTTGTTTTAGAGTGTTAGTGAGCGTCGCCCGAATACAGAGAAAATTTGAGTGTGGTTGTGAATTTTAGCGAGAAAATTGCCGGTAAAATGAAATTAGTGTTTTGGTGTCGAGATTAAGATTAGTCATGGAATTTTCCATAAATGCTTGCAATTTGAAATCAAAAATACTGAACACCTACTAAGATTCTAACATTCCATTTGTAACAACTGCACACTGTAACAACCGCACCTAGTCTCCCCTATTATTATTATTATTAATTTCATATATTTCTATTACTTAATTTTTAAATATTTCAATTATTAAAAATAATAATAAAATTATTGTCATTAAATTAGAGAGAGAAAAAGATGACCTGCTTAGTATATAAACACATTTTTAGATTCAACGGCTTTTGTCATTTTCGTCAATGCCACATATAGTTTTGTCAAATGACGGAATGACAATTCTAGTTTTAGCAATTTAAAACAGCCAATGGTCGAATGAATGTAAATCTGCCACTACTAGTTTTGTCAAAACTGCTTAGGACATAACTAGGTTTAGCTTATTTTTTCGTGCATTGGCCGTTTTCGGCTTTTGATCCTAACATCTATCACGGACACTCTTCCTAAATCACCAGGGTCCAGAAAAAGCAGAAATACGTAAGATTTATTCAACGAATAAACAACATTTGATATGTTCGATTCATTAAATGATAACTAGACTACGCGTGTTAGTAAGTCTTAGTTTCCTCAATTAAATAATCTATTTCTCTGAATAACCTTGTTGTAAGTGTCTAGCCACTTGAACAAGTGATTCAGGAGCATCAATTAACGTAATAAAAGAAAATAAAATACCTGGAAACAATTATACGGCTTTTAAAATACAAAAGAATTTCTGTATGGGAAAAGATAAATACTAATTAGAATATGCTGTTCATTTAAATTATTTCGGCAAAGAACAACTAATATTATTCCAAAATTTCTTATCATAAAAAAGTGGAAGACACCTTTACATGAAGATGGATATTTTGTAGAACAAAATAAAATGTGGATATGTAATGTAATGAATAAAGAAGATGGTGATATTTTAAGGGGGAGTTACACCTTTGACTCGAAAAAAAATCGATTTTTTTTTGCTTAAACGATACTTTATAATGTGTAGAATAGAAATTATATCATGCGAAGTGATTTTGAAGTTATTTTATGTGAAAAAAATCAAAATCTGCAAAAGGTGTCCAAGAGCGCTTCAAGTGCTTTCAAAACTTTAAACGCGTTTTTCTCGAAATGACGTTTTTCAAAACGGTGGACAGTCTAGCTCGAACAGTTTTGATCAGATTGACTTCGGCCAAAGTTTTTTTTGTTCGTCATTTACTAATGCTTTAGAGTACGTAGCGGATTTATTTTTGGTTTGTTTTCTTTTTTTTGGCAATAGATTTTTTGAGAAAATTTAGCCCTAAAAACCGACTTTTTCCTTCAAACAGCTGCCAAATTCACAAAAATTAATATTTTTAAAATATCCTACGTACTCTAAAGCTAAATCTATCACAGATTCAGAAAAACTTTGAATTTTTGTTTTAGATTAAACGGTCTAACCGGAATATTGTCCACCGATTTGCTATGCAGAGAAACAGGACCAACTTTGGCGCCCTTTATAGGCTACAAATTTAAACTTTTTTTAAGTGTAAATATATTTTTGTAAACTTCAAATCATAACAAATAAAGTCCCTGAAACCAACCGACAGATTGGCTCAGTCGGATAGATGCCTGGCGTTGGTGGTCGTTTAAGGACCAAGGGTATAAGTATCCTTGGTTCGCGCCCACTTGGCTTGGTATTTTTCCGGCACGTGAGACAATCTGAGCAGGAGGTTTGACGTCGAGGTATAATGATGTGCACCGTCGATTATTGTCCGGTACACACCATTAGAACTCGACTGTCGATAAACCGGTTGTACTCAGGAGAGGTTTTCTACAGTTTCCCTCTTCTCTGGCGAGAAAACCCATTGACGGGTGGTCCAGGCGCAATGCGAGTACTCCTAATAAAGTCGGCTGTAGACGCAAAATTAGGTTAATATATAGAAAATTTCTAAAGTAGAATGGTTATGCTTAATCCAAAAAAGTATTTCTCGGGGACTCTTGTCGAAGTGCGTAAGGCCAATAGGGCAGGAGTATAAACAATAAAAAAAAAAAAAAAGTCCCTGAAACCAAATTTTGTTTACTTTATTCCTGTGTCTTAAAAAAATTCTTGAAAAACAGGTTCAAAAGAGACCTCAAAGGTGTAACTCCCCCTTAATAGAAGATCATCCAAATATTCCCACCGGACTTTATAAAATACAAATCGGAGTTATAAAAGTTTCTGTTTATAATTATTCTAATCAACCTTTGGAAGTGCCAAGTAAAATTGAAGGAATACTTAAAGAGAAAATTAATTACAACATAACAAATGATAAAACGTTCGAAAATAAAAAAAAATTAAAAGCTAAAGGATTACCTAAACAATTAATTGAATTAAAAAATAAAACAAGATTATTTTGGATAAAAATACAAAATTTATTCAGATTTACTTGATACTTACTCCAAGAGTTAATGCTTTTTAGAATTCTAAGATTAATTGGATAATTGTAAAAACTGAGTTGCTGCCTAATTAGAAATTTTTGTTGTAAAATTAGCAGGTTTCTTTAATAAACATATTCCAGTTTATTAATTTTAAAAATTTCTTCGCTAATTATTAATCCACAATATAAATTTAAAAATAGATTAAAGATTGGTAATTAGGGACTACAACAACACCGAATAACAAGTTTCGTGACAATCTAATAAATTTCTTCATTTGTCATCTGTCATATTGGATCCGCAATTTGTAACGAAGCGAATCGTTACTTATAAAATCTTAGCGACCGAGAGTATTTCGTCTATTTTGCTATAGTGAGAGAGAGTTCCGTCTCTGTTTTCAGTCATCGCTCCGTCGCAGTTTTTCCAAGTTCGCTATAGTGTCGTTCAGAGCCTCGTGTCCGTCTCTCGCAGAGTCCAGCAGAGAATGAATTGCGCATGATTGATTTGACGTTTGCAGTCATGTGACGATTAGCGACCCTTTCCCCTTTTTCTTATAGGTTTTCCCATTGATTGAAAGGAGAAGGGTGTATAAAAATTAAGTACGGAAAGGACTGAGATGGATTCTCCGAATTTGAATGCAGGCTTCCAGGAAGGCGTTGGAACCATTCATCAATTCATTATTCGTTTGCCTTGAATTCGAGTCGGTCGAGTAATCGTTTTACTCCCTATGAGGAGGATTTGCTTATTAATTAATTTTGTTAATTTTACTTATTTTCCTTATCTTAATTTTAGTAGTGTATAATTTAGTTTAATTGTTAAATAAATTCAAGTATTTTATTGTTAATTTTGGTGTTTAATTGGAGAGAATTCCCAATTTACATTTTCGAAGCTAACGGAAAACCGTTGGATTAGAGACGCCGCAGGTTGCAAGCAGAGTTCGACAACGAAGGTTTGGAAATTTGATTAATTCTGGAGATCGATGCATCGTCGATTCCTTCTCAGCAGTTCCCCCCTTTGAGACTATTATTTAGTAGAATTTATTTGATTTGAGATTTATTAATTTGTTGTATTTAATTGAGATGAAATTAGAAGTTGAAATCGCGAAATATAGAGACCAAGGGTTCGAGAAAATTTTAAGTATCGGGTAAACGATGCAATAGTTTATTTAAATAATTTCGTTTAACTAACTATCAAATTACCCGCTACAAATTGGCGCCCAACGTGGGGCCCACGCTGAGATCTCCAGAAATTTAAAGTGTTGTGACGTAGTGTTTTGTGACCAGAGGAAATTTGTTAAGTGTAATTTTTGGTAATAAAATTTGTATTGTCCAAATTGTTGAGACCCCAAGATAAGAAAATTAGTGACCAGAAGTGTGACCAAAAACAAGGAAAAAATTCTTGTGACCAAACTAGTGACCAAATTTGTGACCACTCTTAAGCCTTCGCGGAAAATAAATTTGAATTATTTTTGCCCCAACGACCTGAAAAATTTCTCATTGCATCTGAAGGTGCATTTGTGTTGAGAAATTTCCTTTTTTTTTGCGAAATTGAAAAACGAAAGGTGCGTCGGCTAGAAATTTGCCGGCTAACGGTCTTTGCATTTTTCGCTTGGGGACGCGATAGTTTTGGCGGGTGGCGAATTTGGCGGGAGCACGGAGTAAGGGGAGGACGCCGGTAGCGAGCAACGTTCTGACACTCGATGGCATGCATTGTGTAAATAATCACAAGCCGGCGTGTCATTGACATTCTCTAAATCGTTATTTTTCTCTTAGGAAGGTTTATCTCCGAATTAAAATTTTTCTGAGCGAATTTTCGAGATATTGAGTGTCTATTTA